GCATCACAGTTGGAGTCGAGTGTCGGTCAGGCAATGGCAGCAGTCATGGCATGAATAACTTTGCAATTTTTTGCTAAAAAATAGACAAGTTAAGGCAACAATTAGGGCTCAGATTTTTGCTCAAATTGAGCTAGTTGTAGAGAAATTGAAAGAGGGGAGAAGAAGGGACAAATCTGAGCATCAACAAAGACTAGACAACAGAGAGCAAACAGAGGAATAAGGGGGTTTTCATTGGGGTATTACGTGGAGAAAGAACTTGAAAGAGAACTGATTTTGGGTAGAGAGAAATTGAAAGAGGAGAGAACGAAGAGCAAAGAGAATTGTTTTATGGAGATTGAGGGTGGGGTATTTTGGAGTTTTTACCCAAAAATGTACAAACACAAGATACTATAACTGGGGTTGAGTGTGGGTCGGGTCGACCTGCGTGCTAACCCGACCTAACTCACCACGGGCCACGACCCGACCTAACGTGGCCCATAGTAGGCCGGGCCCGACCCAGCCCATGATATACCCGGGTCATGGGTGGGATTAGGTACAACCCTAGACCCGAGGTCAGAGAAGTAGGCGCGATCCACACTAACCCGACCCACACCCGACCCGACCCGACCCATGATATATGTTTTGGTTAGTCTAGATGTTCCTTTAGCCCTTTGGGTCTGCTGCCAATAAAGCTAAAATGCCATTGATCGTTGATTTGTTGGTCTTTTGGCCCATTGAGAAGCAAAACAACAATCTTTAAGCTCGATGTTGTCTATGTAAAATGACTAAAACTTTAATAATAGTTTAATGCAAGTTTAAATTACTAAAAAATAAATTAAAAATATTTTTATAATTGTAAGGACAAGTTTTATATAACTAAAAAGATGAGCAAATAGGGAAAAAAAGTTGGACAACAAACCTATGGGTCGTCCCACAACCCATAGGCCATGGGTCGGGTGAGATCCGGCCTGCACCTAGGGTCGTGGGCCGGGTTGAGTCCAATCCCAGGCCCCAGATCAGAGAAATAGGCCCCGCTCACTCTGACCCAGCCGGGTTAGGCCTGACCTGGCCAGGTCTTAAACCCGGCAGGCTGGGTCACGGGCATGAACCGGCCCGACTCTAGCCTACCCCTAACTATAACTCTATTTTATACTATTTGTGTTTAAAGATAAATACATAAAGTTAACTGGGTTCAATGATAAAAAAAAAGTTATTGAACTTATAGATAAATTAAGGTAAACAATTGGGCTGAAAACAAAAATATCTAATTAATAACTTTATAGTTTTAGCATAGTGACAAAAAGTTTCGACATAGCGTCAGAGTAACTCTTAGCTAGTTTTGATTACAGCTGATAAATGCATAGTTGAAAGGGTGAGCAAGATTTAAAAAGAAAAAATTGGGTGACAAAAGATGTCATTGCTTTTGCGTTGGATTGAAAGTGTATATATAGTAGTTGGACAGTTACAACGTTTTTCATTTTCTTAATGTATTTATTGTGAAAAGTGTAGAGGTTCTTGTTAGAAGTGTGCATGCAACCGAACAACGATGACATCCTAAGTAGACTTAAAAATGATGCTGAAAATGAAAGATTTTATAATTACTTGTAATTGATTTGGATTTTAACATCCATAACTCGAACCGAAGTATTAAAGTATCAATATGCTGAGGCATATAAATCCAAATTCACTACGAATCTAAGTTCTATAAATTATCTTTGGCCACCTTTTTTTTCAGATTTAATATACTCGCTAATAAAACAAAATGATATGTCGAGTTAGTTCGATTTTTGAAAGTTATCGGGCGTTCAGTACAAAACATTGAAAATGCTAGGGAGTTCAGTGAAATTTACCCTGCTTTAAAATATCACATGATCTTATGGGCGTGAAAGCCAACTATAGAATGGTGTGGTGCCAGGAAGTCAAACTCCTTTTTGCCTTTATATCGACACATCATGACTCGACCTTTTATCCAATATTTGATGCCAAATAATCTGTTCTCTGCCGTTAATGAATTGAAGATGCCATTGGAGATGATGTGCGCGCATGATTCACTAAGAGGTATATTTTTCCTTTGAATAGACTTCATTATTCAACTGTAAGTTATAGCCGACAATGAGTAATGGGATTTTGTGACCAGTCCCTTGAGTGCGCAAATTTGAGAATTTTGGGTGCTGCACTTTTTGAAGGAATCTATAATTTGTGGGTTCAATGGTTTTTTGAGCAAACAGTGAACTGAAGAATGATAGAGCAAATTAATTGCATAGATCACTAGATAGCAAGGGCAAGGGACTGAGGCACGAACATTGGATCAAATTAACCCTCCCACGCCTAGCTATATAAATAATTATAGGGAAATTTCACAAAACTTCCCGTAAGTTTGGGCATTTAACTAGATAGTTCCTTTCACTTTCATAAATGTCATAACCCCCCCCCCCCCCCCCCCTCTCTTTAGTTTTGGTTCTCAAAATCGCTTAGGCTGTTTGGTTGGATGAAATTAGAGTTGCAAAAATAAATAAAACAACATGATTTGTGTAACTGCATTGTTTGGTTTGTAACTTTGTAATTGGAGAAGGTAAATGAACTCACATTTTGTTGAAAAATCTTATAACAAATGCTACGGCCAATTTCGTGGGAGGAAAAACTGCAAACTTCAAAAAATAGAATTAAAAAATAAAAAAATTCCACATCATCAAAATAAATTATTTTAAATTCAAGTAGAAATCACTAAACACAAGTTTTCTTATATAGCAAAGTTATGTAGCTTTTGCTCTAATTGCTTTTTTAATCAAACACCAAATTTGTATTAGAAATATATTTCCTACAATACAATTGCAGATATCCAAACAATGTATTTGAAGTTCATTTCCTGCAGCAAATGCTACATGCAACATTTGTTGCAATTTATTTTTACATCAAACCAAACAACACCTTAATGCCGGCAAGAGCTTTGATTTAGGGGATTTTCTAACAACGCTTAAAGGAGATTTTGTGATATTTTTAAATTTAAGGGCTCGGTTATATCCTGAAAATCACTAAATTCAACAAACCCTTAAAACTTGACCACCATCACATTAATGGGCTGGATGTAAACACAGCTTGATCAACCAAGTTGACATTTCTAGCAGACCAAGTTTGAGATGAAAAGCATCTTCAAATCAGAATCCATCAAAAAAGTCCAAGTCTGAGACGAAGACGGCTTTTGGTCGGACTCCATTAGGGAACATCCCAAAACAGAGAGTGACCTATTAGTCTCATTAATGTTGTTCACATTAAATGCATTGCCAAGCAGCCCCATACTCCGCCGGTCAATCGCCATGACATTAAATGCAAGACTAGGTATCATAATGGCTCCTCGAATGTCATTTGTACTTTTGTCAATCTGTCGCTATCACATTAAATGTGAGGAGGGCAACCCTTCACAGCCACCTAAGCGACCACCGACACGTATAAAGTAGATGTAGAACCCCCCCAAACCCAACCCCAAAAAATAAAAAAATCCTCTACAAATGGTAGTCATTTTTACTATGCTAAGATACATATGATAAAAACCCTAGACTAGATTTTGCATCCTCTCTTCTGATTGCTTTATCTATCACTGGCTTGAGCATATGAGGGCATTATGTCGAGGCAAATCTCTTTCGGGTCTCTAACATCTGCTAGTTATGTAGGGATCTACTTCTCATAATTTATCAGTCATCAGAGAAGATTAAGGAATCCTAAACTTTTTTAAATATACTCACTCACAACTTAACTTCCTGACATAAACTATGATTATTCATGCAATTTGCGTAAGAATACGGCTTATGTTAATATGTTAGCATCAAAGTAGTTGATTGCTTAATAATGTTGTTTAGATTTTTTTTAAAATATTTATCCTCTACTTATTTTCGTACCAGTAATCCCAAGGAAGAAAAATGTTGAGCTGGATAAAAGAAAAAAAAATTGAGAAGAGCCAATTAAATAAAGTTTAACACAGATCATCCCCTGTTTTGAAAACTTTTTAAACAATGAAAGATTCTGGTCAAATCAGTGCACTAGAGTTAACCATCTGACCCATGGTTTCATAGACTCTCATAATATTAAAATAAATTGGCAGATTCAATGAATTTCTGGTGTGCTAAATTTATCGATCCATGTGCATGTGTTAATTCTAAAAACTATTGATCTCATATGCACAATCTCTCTTTCTTTAAAAAAACAAACAGTCTCTTGCAGAAGAAATTTCTAGAAGGAGATTTTGTCAAATGCATTTATTTTTAAAATTTCATTTAAAAAATTGGGAAGAGGTGCTGCGTGTGAATTCATTCTGGCAACGCAATTTCAGCGGTGATCCACCAAACAATAGAGTCTCAGCTGCATTCTTCCCTTGAATCTTGGAGATATAATTGCTAATAAAATATTTTAAAGGATATAAGTGGTTGTAACTTTGTACTTAACAACAATTTATAGAATAACTAGTTTCAGGCCCGTGCGATGTACAGATTTGTTTAATATACAAAAATTAATGTAGCAAAAAAATACAAAATAAAACAATAATAATATATAAGTAATAAAAAATGATACAACCTAAGTTGCATATATAGTTTAGAAAATTAGAAAGTTTGAAAAACTTGAATCAGTTTAAGATTCTATAAAGTTTGAAAAATGTAAATATGTAAAAACAGTATTCAGAAATATGGTGGGAGTTATTTTATTATTTATATGGTATAAAAATTCAAAATTAAAGTAAAATGTTAAAAAAGTACAAAAAATGGGTAAACTTAAAAAATATTACTAATATAATGTTCAACCTCATCTATATATGCAGATTGATAAATGAAATGAATAAATATGTAGCTCTATAAAAGAAGGAAATATGTAATGTACCTGGTTCAAATCTAAGCTGTCTCTGAAAGCTGCATAAAATATAAAATCATACATCTAATTGGATTATAATTGAAAGGGTATAAGATATAAATCAATACCTTTCAATCTGAACTATGATGAGTCCAACAACCTCTGCAGCCTTCCTTGAAATTTGTCCCTTGGTAAAGTCTATATCGAGAGCTTGTATGCAGGCTTCTGCCACTACAAGTCTACTAACCTCGCCCACAAGTTTATCTCCTGAACAACAAAAAATATCAATTTTAAGTAACTGGTTAAAAACCCCTCATTTTGTAATTTATCATAATGCAACATGATTACAAAACGTTTTGCAACAAAATATCCATCGATTGTAGCATGCAGATGCAAGTTGAGAGATATCACTATATTGTTGTACAATGTTATTACAATCCACAAAACTACTGTGATAAAGAGGAGTAAGGGCTATTGATTAATGATAAGGTATGCTAACATTACCATGATTATTAGAGAAACTACCATGAACTTTTCACTAAACTATCATGCTGATAAGGTATGCTAACATTACCATGATTATTAGAGAAACTACCATGAACTTTTCACTAAACTATCATGCCTGATGACAATGAGTGTAGGTTGTCACATGTTAGAGAAACTACCATGAACTTTTCACTAAACTATCATGCCTGATGACAATGAGTGTAGGTTGTCACATGCTTAACACTCGACACGTTTTAGACAATTTAGTTCTGGTGTACTTTATATATCTTCTATATTAGTCCTGTGAATTTTCCAGATTGATGGACATAAATAACCCGCCAGTAAAAATTTCCTATAGTTTATGGGATTTTTCTACAATTTTTCATTATAGTTATCTAATAAAAAAAGTTAATGGTAGTTTTGTGCAAAACCCTCCAAATTTTATGGCTACGTTATGAATTTAACCCTTAATATCTGTATGATAGTGAAATATGAAAGAAGCTTTCTAGCTTCTAGTTATAAGGCAACCGATTTTTCACAAATTCAGATGATTATTTCTTTCCTTAACTAACTTTCAATGAGCAATTTCAAATAGAACAACAAAGCTTTTATCCCAGATTTTGGGGGTCGGCTACATGCTTATTATCCTTCCATTTAATTCTATTAAATCTCTTTTGTTAACTGTTTTTGTGATGCATACTTCTCTAAGTCCATATACAAGCTAGCTTTCCATGACCAATATCATGCCATTTTATTTAGTAGAAATTATTTGAATAGGCCATGTTTGTTAACTTATATCAAGTTTTGTATAAGGACTATAGATTGAAAATGTACATCAAGCAATTTTGAGTCTCACATTGTTACAGGGTTTTGGAATTAGAACTTCAAACTATAGTTAGAGATATACAAAAACTGCTGATATTTCAATGTTTGAGATCAAAAAAGTGATACCTTGGCCTATAACTACTGCTCTCCTTTCTCCAGCAGTTGCTTTAATAAGCGTATTTAAATCATAAGAAGTATAAGGTCCATCAGTCAATCTTTCAGCCCTGATAAGCAAAAAAAAAAAAAAATTGAATGTTTCAGCCAAAAGTTTTTACCATTCTACAAGTTCATATAGGTGAAGAAATTTATCTAAGCATTAATATATTAGTAATAAGTAATAGACCTGATAATGGTATAAGGAAGGCCAGAACTGCGAATAAAATCCTCCTCCATCTTCTTGAACTTTAAAACTCCAATTAGATTCATGATACTGCAACCGTCATCGAAAAACTTTATGAGTGCATCTTTTCTACCAGAGAAATGAAGTCATATATGCAAGACTTTTATATTATGAATCGCAAAAAACAGCATAGTGAGACCTAAGTAACTGAGATAACAATAAGAAAAGAGGGATTTTTTTTCTGAAATAAACGCTCCAGCTGGAATCGAAAGGGTTTTATCCCATTTAGACTTGTAGATGGAGGTATCATAACCTAAAGACTACAAATTTTCAGTTACGAACTTGATGCAAACATCTTTACCATTTCCGATCTTGGTTTTATTAGTTTCCACGATCTTTGATGCGTCCGCCAACAGATACGCTCCGATAGGCTCTCGCACAGAACTAAGTCCTACAAATTAGGAATAAAACTATCTAAATTTTGACCAAAAAGAAAACTTCATCAAATATATTAAAAGATCAAAACTACTACCTTAATGATCTCCAGCGCGTCGCCGGATCCAGCGGCGACGGTCGGAGGGGAATCGCCGACGAATTCATCATTAGAGCTGTCATCGCAGTTTCCATTGAAGTAGGTGCAGTGCCTTCGACCGCACTTCGCCGACTTCTCTTGGGGAATTTTGGAGGAGGAGGAGGAGCAGGGTTTGAGGAAAAAGGTTCTGTGCTCCATGAGGGGACTCCATGAGGGAGAGAAGCTTTGATTCTTTAGGAACTGAATATGATCAATTGAACAGATGATGATGATGATGATGCGTTGGAAAAAGTAGACAATTGCTTTGGGAAGATGAGAAGGTTGAACTCGGAGTTTTATGGGAGGGAGAGAGAGGAGCTAGAGACTAAACACAAGTTATCTTTTCCCAAAATAATATAGGGAACCGAAATTGATAGTAATAGATAGTAATAGATTAAATAATGGTAAAATGATGTTATTTTCAAGATAATGAATAATGTTAGGAACCGAAATTGATGCCATGTGGCGTTTTCAAGGGTATGTGTTATTTTTTGCCTTGTGTCATTTTAGCCAAGTGGTGTTTTGAAAGCTAAGAGCTTTTAGTAATAGTATATAGATTCCTTTTGGATCCGAATTAGGAACCATTAGATGAGACACGTGAGTTGGCAATATTTCCAAGCTGTTAACAAAAAAATAATTAATGAGGGTTAATTTCGGTATTGTCACAGAAAAATAAAGAAACAAATATATTTTTTTTATTTCGGTACAGAAAAATAACAAATATTTTTTTAATGAAATAGAGAGACTTTCCGTCTTCTTTATTAGACTTTTATTTATTTCCTCAATTTGTTCTCTCTCTACGAACGCCGACTTCTCGTGCTCAACCTTCACCATTGACATCTCGTGTTCAACCATAATCACCATTGAAGTCTCCTTCCATCACCCACCCTCCAAGGGATTTTATGGGCTTCTTTTTCTAATATCTGTACCCAACTCGCTTTGGTTGCTTGTAGTGAAGCCTATGATTGCTTCGCTAGAACTACTACTTGCAAAATTAAGAACTACGGCAATTGTCTCCTCTATTTGATTCAAGCTTTGGTCACTCAAATTTTATCAAATCTACTTTTCTATACAAATGGGAGAACACAAGATTCACTATTCGTGCCATAGTAAATACTACAGTAATATTCACTGTAACATTTATTACTGTAACAAACAAGAAACGAGATGCTGTAGCATTTTTAAAAAAATATTACTGTAGCATTTTTTAAAAAAACTGTAGCAGAAGTGTGATAATGTAGTAATATAAAAAAATTCTAAAATATTGCTATAGTATTTAAAACCGAGATTACTATAGCAGGGGGAAAAAATGATATATCAGTACTTGATTTGCACGGTGTTCACACTAGTGAAAAAAAAAGTTAAATGGCGCTTGTGCTCTTGAATGACGTATAAGTTATGGTTGATTGGTTTAGACCGCACCTGTAGCAAACAAACTAGAATAACCTAACATTTCCTCTAATTTAAGGCTTTAGTACTTGATTTGTATTTATTATTAATCTTTGAGATATGAAGATTTAAGCTAATTTTAGAATGTGATGCGATGTGTATTTAATTATCTTTTTCTTGACTTGTAGAGAACATAGGGTGCTGGAATTGAAGAAGGATCTACGCAAAAGAGGTCGTGATCAAAATATCAATTCATAGATTCAAGATGACAATAGTCATAACACTACAACCAGAATTGATCACATAAATCCTGCAAAAGGAATGAATTTTATGTCATTTGAAGAAGCTTGCGCATTCTATAACCAGTATGCTAAGAATATTGGATTTGGGACGAAAGTGAAGCGTTCTTAGCTCAATGATAATGGTAACTATCGGGCAAGATCATCATACCACATCCAATAACTATTGGGCAAGGTCATCAACAAGAACACAATGTTTAGCTAGTATCAGAGCCAATTTGAAGAATGACGAGCTATTTTATGTTACAAAGGTTGATCTTGAACATAATCTGTTGCGCGCAGCGGAAATTTCGGCAGCACCTCGGCAGCACAACAAGAGAGTCAGGTTACAATAAGAATTTTCGTTTCACCAAGAAAACAAGAACCTTAAGCAAAATATCTCAACAAAGTGAGATATCAGCTCTTCCTTTCATCAGTTCTAGGACTGACCTGTCGAGGGAACCTAAATAAACTATTACAAATCACACAAATAGCAAGACAACCAATTTTACGTGGTTCGGCAAATTGCCTACGTCCACGGGGAGAGGATGGGGAGATTCTACTAAATCAAGGAGAGTACAAAGAGTTACAATATCACAAAACTCATAAACTAACCATCAACCAAAGCTCTCAACTTGCTCACAATATCTCCCTCTCACAATGCTCAAAAGTCTCTCTAATCTCTAATTACAACTCTCCTCCCTCATTATGATTGATTCTAATCTCCATATATATAGAAAAACTATAACCAAAACACACTAGGAATCCTAAAACCAAAACAAAACAAATTAGGAATCCTAATAACCTCATGTTACCAAAATAGATTAGGAATCCTAATAACGTTATGTTACCAAAATGGATTAGGAATCCTGCTATCTAACAATTCTCCACCTTGGCGAAGTATTCTCAAAATTGAGCCGACACCAACATGAGCACCAATTTGTCATCTCATCAAATTCGGCTGCACCAATGTGGTTGCCTACGTACCCCCTCTCCCAAGGGATCAAGTCGCCCGTAGTTCATCCAAATGGCCGTCAACGGCCTTAACAATCACGAATGTGTAACAAGTTTCGATAATGATCAAACTTGTTGCTCGGAACCACCTTAGTGAGCATATTCGCCGGATTATCCTTCGTGTGGATTTTCACAATCTCCACATCCCATCTTTAAGAACATCCTGAACGAAGTAATAACAAACATCAATGTGCTTCGTTCTCGCATGAAAAATCTGATTTTTCGCCAAATAGATAGCACTCATGCTATCACAATGAATAGTGATGGACCTCTGCGATATACCAAGTTCCTCCAAAAGTCCTTGAAGCCAAATAGGCTTCTTCATAGCCTCTGTAATTGCTATATACTCTGCCTCCATCGTAGATAAAGCCACTGTAGACTGTAAGGTGTATCTCCAACACACCGACACACAGGTCAAAGTAAACACATATCCTGTCGTAGACCGACGCTTATCCAAATCCCCAACATAATTTGAATCAACATAACCAATGCATAACTGCCCACCTGTAGTGTCCCGCTCATAAATCTAACCAACATTGAGTGTACCTCGAATGTACCTCAAAATCCATCTCATTGCGTCCCAATGACCCACTCCTATATCGTGTATGTATCTCGAAACCATGCTCACCGCCTGTGATAAATCTGACCTCGTACATATCATCACGTACATCAAGATCTCAATCGCGCTCGCATATGGAGTCTTTGATATCAACTCTCTATCTTCAACTGTCTTTGGTGAAAGGTCAGCTAAAAGTTTCAAATGGGCTCCCAATGGTACACTAACTAGCTTCGTATTCAAGCTAACATGAAATCACTGTAGAACCTTCTTCAAATAAGCCACTTGTGTCAAACAAATTCTACCATTCTTCTTGTCTCTGTTGATCTCCATCCCTAGAATACGTTTCGCCTCACCCAAATCCTTCATCTCAAACTCATTTTAAAGCTGTGCCTTCAACTCATCTATAGCAGATCTGGAAAAGAGGCAACCAACATATCATTGATATAAAGTAACAAATAGATGTATGCACCTCCTTTCAACTTGGGAAAATATACACAAGGATCAAACTGGCTCCGAGTGTACGAATGACCAATCATAAAATTATCGAATCGCCTATACCACTAACGAGGAGACTTCTTCAAACCGTATAGCGATTCTTCAATCTACAAACTAATTTTTTCTTTCCTACAGCTTGGAATCCTAATGGCTGAGTCATATATATTTCTTTATCAAGATCACCATGAAAAAATACCGTCTTCACATCCAACTGATCTAACTCCAAACCATACTTCGCCACCAAAGCTAGCAAAATCTGAATCGAAGAGTGCTTCACCACCGGAGAGAAAACCTTATTATAGTCAATACCTTCCTCCTGTGCATAGCCATTCACAACCAATCTAGCTTTGAACCTCAATGGAGTGCCTTCAATGCCCTCCTTCTTTGTGTATACCCACTTGAAACCAATTGTCTTACGCCCCTTTGGAAGCTCAACCAGCTCCCATGTATCGTTCTTATGAAGAGATTCCATCTCCTCTTGCATAGCTACCTGCCACGAATCAGCCTCCGAACTCTGCTCGGCCTCTCTGAATGTAGTAGGCACCATCTTAATTATACTCTCCACCGGAAGTGCATATGCAACTACTGTATTGGTATACCGTGCTGGTATCCGTATGTCTCTCATCTGTCACCGAATCGCAATAGAATCATGAACCTGAGCCATCGGTCCCGGATCCTACACATCAGTACCTGTATCCTCCGTGTCACCGTCATGCTCGCCTGGCGTCACCTCAATCGGCACACTAA